TGTTCACCCATCCCTTTATAGAGCCTTAAAACTAACTTATCCTGCGGACATCGGCGGTTTGTCTCAGGATGATACTGTCGATAATGAGATGATGTCTGGTTCCATGGGACGAGCTGTCGGTGTCCTCACCCCAGCCATGTTCTATCCTGAAGGGCAACCCTAATCGGTTTCACAATGGCACTTTGGTTAGCTAGTTTGAATGTCCGGGGCCTGAGGTCCGAGTCTCGCAGGGCGAGGCTCTTCGTGACCTTCAGCGCCTCGGGGTGAATGTATGTTGTATACAAGAGACCCGGTTTTCTTCTCATGATCGTGAGGACATACTGTCTAAGTGGTTCGCCCTTTATTCAGCATGTTTTGATGGTTGTTCGAGGGGTGTCTCTTGGCTAGTGAGCAGGTCTTTGAAGGCTGCATGTACCCTTGTCTTCGCGGATCCGGCGGGCAGGCTTTGCGTGCTGGATGTTACCATAAAGGATAAGCTTCTTCGTCTCATTGGGGTTTATGCGCCCAATATCCATTCCGAGCGGCCTGCTTTGTTTCGGCAGATCGCGCCGTTCTTGACGACGTCTCGTCGGGTAGTTTTTTGCGGGGGATTGGAATGCCGTCCTTGACCCCGATATAGATCGTATAGGGCACAAAAAAGGTACTAACAACCCGGATGTGAAACCATTTCGGGACTTTATCGATGGGTTTGATCTCGTCGATAAGTTCCGGAATGAACACCCTCGGGAGGTAGCATGGACTTGGACTACTAGTGGCAACTCGGCTCCTGGCTCGCTTGCGAGCTACCTGGACCGAGTCTTAGTTAGGGAGAGTCGATGTAGGGCTCTTAGGGTGTCCAAGTTTCCATTATATAGTTTATACGGATCATAGGCTTGTCCGGGTCCGTGTAAACTTAGATAAGCCTAAGGTTAGGTTGGCTGGTTACTGGAAATTGAACTGTTCACTTTTTGGTGATCAGGGTTTCCGGGACCAGCTGTTACTAACGATACAAAGGGAATTGACGGGGGCGGTTGTGGGAAATGCCTGGTGGGGCAATTTAAAATCTAAAATTCGAACGTTTGCTGCCGATTTTAGTCGTCGACTCAATCTAGATAGATTAGCGGCGCAAACTGCTTTAGAAAAAAAAAAAGTCGATCGGGCCGTGAAATCCCGTGTTAGTGGGGACATAGTTTAGCTAAGGCAGAGTTGGCCTCCTTGCTTATCAAGAAGGATCAAGCTCTGGTAGTTAGGGCTAGGTTAAAAAGAATGTCTTCTGAGGCTACGAATATGGCCGCTGAACTGCGTGTAGAGGAGAATCGAAACGCGTCTAGGCGACATATAGCGTGCGTCACATTACCGGATAAGCGGACCGTGACTACAAACGCGGGCATATGTGAGGTCTTTCGGGATTACTTTCAGGATCTTTTTCACCAGGGAGCCCGGTCTGAGCTCTGCTCAGTTCGACGCCTATTTAGCTGACTTTCCCTGCCTCTCGGCAACTGAAGTGGCTAGGTGCGAGGGACCCATAACAGAGTCGGAAATCTGGGAAGCGCTGAAGCAGGTTGGCCTGGATAAGTCTCCAGGATTAGATGGTCTTCCCTACGAAGTTTACTTGAGGTTGTCGCACGTTTTTGTTCCTTTGCTGGAACTGATGTTCAACCACTGGATGAAGCAGGGGTCTTTACCTCAACGCTTCACCAGGGGTGTCATCAAGTTGCTGCGTAAGGACAAGGACGGTGGGGATGGGTTAGGGAACTTTCGCCCTTTAACGATGTTAAACACTGACTTAAAGATTTTGGCGAAGATCTTAGCCAACCGTTTGCAGCTTGTCCTGTCTAGTCTGATTGGCCCTGAACAGACTTGTGCTGTGAAGGGCAGGACTATTCAGGATAACCTTCATATGGTACGCTTGATCTTAGAACAAGTCGACAGTGAAGCCGCGCTGATCAATTTAGATCAGTCCAAGGCCTTCGATAGGGTTGACCATCGATTTCTGGAGGCTGTCCTTTCGGCGGCCGGTTTCGGAGCCGACTTTCGCTCCTGGATCCGACTTTTGTATGCGACCCCCGGTGCGCTGGTGGAAGTGAATGGGGTAAGATCGAAGCCTTTCGTATTGTCTCGCTCCATTCGTCAAGGTTGTCCGCTCTCGCCTCTGCTTTACGTTCTTGCGTTGGAACCATTCTTCGCAAGTTAAAGGCGAATCCGGTCCTACGCGGAATTTCGCTGCCTGGTGCTTCCACCTCGGCCAGGTATTCTGCCTATGCTGACGACGTTTCGTTTCTTGTGTCGAGCAGAGCCGAGATTAACGAAGTCAGCAAAAAGATCAGTGGGTATGAGATGGTGACAGGGGCCAAGATCAACCGAGATAAGTCTGTGGGCTTGCGGTTGGGTGCGTGGAAGGGAGTTTCTCTTCCTGGACCTTTCCTCTGGACGGATAGGCCGATCAAGATACTCGGCGTCTGGTTGGAAATGAATTGGTCGGAGGTACAAGCGAAGGCCAAGGCCGCGGGTAATCTGTGGTCTCGGAGGAGACTTTCCCTGAAGGGAAGGGCGGAAGTAAGTATGTTTCACACATCTATCCGATCCTCCTGTACCGACTCTCTGTGCTTCCACTCCCGTATGCCCGACTAATGTCATTAGTCCAGGCCTTGTTCTCTTTCTTGTGGAGAGGCAAGGCCCATATGGTATCTCGCGAGATCTGTTGCCTTCATCCCTCTGAGGGCGGTCTGGGTATGCCTAGCATTGAGATTCGTCAATATATGCTTCGCATTACCTTTCTAGACCGAATGTGTCGCGGTTTGGATGAGGTGGGCACCTTTTGGAAAGAAGATGTCCGAAAACATTTCCCATCCCTGAGAAGTGTGCACTCGTGCGAGGAGGAGGCCGGCCGTACACCTCGTGTCGAGTGCTCCTTCTACCGCGAATGTCGTCGTGCTTTGAAGCTCCTCTTGCGGACGTCGGATGGCCTCTCCGACGCCCAAGCGTTGTCTCGTAAGGCATTATATCGATTGTTAGTTAGGGGGTCCGTTCGAGATGGTCTGATCGACGAGCTCGGTCTTACGAAGCAGGAGGCTCGCTCGATATGGCCTTGGGCGCCTGGGTTGAAATGTCTCAATAACGATGAGGCATCACTCACCTGGCTGATGATTCGTGGGGCCCTCTGGGTCGGCAAAAGACTTTGTTCAGCAGGCTTGGAGAAATATCCAAACTGTCGTCGCTGTACTGGGAAAGTCGAGACCATTGGTCACGCCTTTTTTCAGTGCAAGACGGTAGTGCCGTTGTGCAAGTTTGTTGAAGGCCTCATGGTTCGCATGCTGCAGGGAAAGTTTTTTGTCCTGGAAGCCAGTTCTGTTTGTAGCAATGTGGTATCGCAATTGACGAAGGCTGAACACTATGTGTTCTGTTGCTTACTAGGGGTTATGCGAGTCGTGATTTGGGCGACGCGAAAGAAGGAATTCTATGATGGCGAGAAGTTCACCTCTTCCCAACTGATCTTGTTCTTTAAGCATCAGCTTAAAGTCAAGATTAGGACGGAAAGGCGGCGGCTCCCATCATCAGAATTTGGCAAAAGGTGGGTGAATCTTGCGCGAATGTGTAGAGTAAAAGGGGCTGACCTAGAGTGGCATTTGGATGTCGGTTAGGTACAGAATTTTGTTTAACAGGGTTGAACATAGGCAACCCACCCAGATATTAGGTTAGTCTAGGTTTTTCGATTTTGAATTTTTAGTTTTCTTTTTTTTCGGTTAACTTAGCTAGGGTTTGTATGCTCATTGGTCCCTTTTATTTCTGTCCCTATTTTTTTTCTTTTGTTTAATTCCCCATCCCCTCCCTCGTTAGGTGGTTAGTGATGTCAGTTCTCTGGTGGATGCGGGGCGCCTTTCGTTTTCGTGTGTGTTTTTTCGTATTTGTTGTTGTGTATGAATGAGTGAGTGTTTGTGTGAATGCTTGATGGTTTGAATGTGTCCTTTTTTTTCTTAGTCCCGCATCGATTTCGTCCGGTTAACTGATATTTCTGCCACATTCAAAGTTTGTGGGTTTTTTTAATACTAACACTAATTTTGTTTAGTTTATTGTAAAATATATTTCACATATTGTAAATATTCATTTGGGGATTTTTTTAAAAATTGTTATTTTATGACCCCCCCCCCAAGAACAATATCTGTACATAAGGGGACTATTTAGGATTTTCATAGAGAATCTGAGGTATTTTGGTGGACGTAGTAAGAAAGGTATGGATAAATGTGTTGTTTTGGTGATTGGAATATTGTTGGCATGTTTGGGTCAGTGTCTGTGACTAGCTAAGTTTTAGATTTAAGACAGATGAAGACCGTCATTCCCCATCCCCCTTTTTGGCCTTGTGCCACATTTTGTATTTTAATACAAATAAATATTGAGGAATCAAGAGATTCAATCCAGAGACTCTGCCCGACTGCGACTAAGTCAACACATTCTCCAGGAACGGTCTTCCCAGGAATATACAAAAGACTATATGTAAATATTGTGTACACTTTCTTGTTTCAATACATTTTGTTCTAATATATATATATGCACACACACACACATATATATATATATACACACACACACACACACACACACACACACACTAAGTTCAGACTCAGACTCCAAAGAAAAAACCTCCGACAAGAGTAAAGTAAAATAAATAAGCGAAGTGCTCAATACGCAGCGATTTTCGCATTTATTATATAGACTAAAGTAAGAGCCGCCCTGTCGGATGGCATTTAAGCTAGCTCATGCGGATAGCCCTTCAGTGGAACTTCAGCCCAACAACGACGCATTATGCATTGATTTTATATTAATATTTATTAAATCAGAACTACATGAATCTTATGTTTAGCATCTTATTTTTACAATACTTGATTATACGATAGAAATTGTATGAAAATAAGAGAAAATAGATTAGTAGTTGCAAGGAATTTAATCAATAATAGAATAATTATATGTATAATATATATATATATTGTGTGTATACATATATGTATATTTAATTATTTTACCAGATCAGCAACCCCAAGTTGAATCTTCAGGGCAACCTCAACATAACACTCACGGCCAACCCCAAGTTGACAGTCAAGAACATCCACCAAGTTATACAGAGTCTGTTAAAAATTCATCTCAAACTGGGTATGACAATTACCCACAAAGTTATCCTCAAATTCCAGCTACCTACCCAACACAGCAAGGATATGCAGCAACAGCGGACTATGACCCATCAAAAGCGGCATATCCAACACAAGGTTACCAGCCAGGCGGTGGTTACACCAACTACGGTCACCAACCGTATTATCCTCCACCTCCAGCTTCAAACAACAATCAGGCAGTCAGTGTAAGTCACTTTCTTCTTCTTCTTCTTCTTCTTCTTCTTCTTCTTCTTCTTCTTCTTCTTCTTTTCTTCAATATCATCCTCATCATCATTCCGTGTCCCTTTAGGACGTGGGCGATTATGGTTTTCCACAATTTTCTGTTCTTTGTAGCGCTAAGTAAAATTTGTTCTTTTGCTATCTCACCTAATCTCTTCTCTCCCAAACATTACAGAAGATGGGAAGCTAAATTATGTGTTGATTTACGTTGGTCTTCTTCATTTCTGTCCAGTGTGTGTCAAATTTTCTAAGCCCTCTTTTCTCATTATGACCACGACAAATTCAACTGCCCCATTCTGATGCTAAATATAAGTCAATTTTTATTATTTAAAATTATTTTTATTATTACAATTATTTATTTTTGGAAATATAGAATGCTGCTTAATTAATTTTCGTAGTAATAAAACATTACAGAATTATCTATATAATTATAAAATATATTCTGTGTTTGATTTGATTTAAATAATTTAATTTACATAATTATAATAATACACAATATTTTAATTTCAATTGAATTGGAAAATTTTAAGTCATATAAAGAAACTTTCCATATTTAATTGAAAATAAAAAATGAATATATTTTTAAAAAGATGGTTCCATCCAGACTCTGTGTCAAAGAAGTGTCTCTATTTTTCGCCTGGAAAGTTTAACTTCCGGATATATCAAGTTGAAATACCGGTCCTTATAAGATCACTGAAGTTAAGCAACGTCTTTCTTCATCAGTTGATAGAAGTATGTCAGTTTAGGAATATCAGGTACTACAAGCTTGGGTATGTGGGTGGTGTAATGGTTAACGGCTTAGAAAGAGAAAATGGGAAAACCGAGTTACAATTCTATTCGGGTTCATTTATGAGAAAATGCACTTACCTAAGGTATTCTCCCCTAATCTATTGGTTAATCAGCAGAATTTGTATCAGCAAATAATTATTATTTCCAAAGCATCTTACAATTTAGAAATATTTTCAGGCTTTCCACAGGCTTTTTTTCTTTTCAGAGCGTTCTACAAGGGAGAATAGAATCTGTTAGCATAGTATTTACTGTTATATGTAGCTTATTCAGCTGTAAAATGATGAAACCTTGTTGACAATCCTGTATGGCACATGACTTCATAAATTCTAGGTACCATAGCAAAGAGCACATGGAAGCAATTACCATAAAAGTAGTATTTCTAGAAAAGACACAGGGAAGCGACTTTATGGCATAGGAAAATTGACTGAATCCGACTCGCCAGATTAGGATAGTTTATATTTCTGATTCTTCTTGTGATTTTATCTAGAATTTCTGAATATATTGCACAGAGCACCGATCCATATGGGGTAGCAATATTCGAGGGCATAGAAGAATGGTACTTATAGATATGTAAGATAGATAGTCTAGCAAGACATAATGAACTAAAGTAGACTTAGAAATAGTCTTTCCACTTCATGACAGACGGGAATGTTAATCCAAGAAGGCGCTACGTCTTATTCACATTATGGTTTATATAATCCATGCAAGACATACAAATATCTCTCAAATAAGTAATATGGAGCAGTAAATTTTATACAATAACAGGACTTCTAGTACACGTAATATTTCCCTGATCCTAGGACGGCTATCGATTATTGTGGAAAACTTTTGTTCACCTTATGATTTAGGCTGTACAACATGAATTCTATTAGTGAAGCCATGTGTGTCTATATTGATTTTATATATACATGTATATATATATATATATATATATATATATATATATATATATATATTTTACTTTAGGTTGCACCGGATACGCAAAATCTATTGGACGTACCAGGGAGGAATTACACATGTTCAGCTATTTTCGCGATTTTCATGTTTATGCCGACTGGAGTTTTGGCTCTCCTCAAAGCAAACGAAGTAAGTAATGAAATTACTATGAAAAAATATCACCTGAAAAAATGGCCTAAAATGATTCAGTTAAAATGATAACTTATCACATTTTTACACCTTAATTTCTTAAATTAGATAAAACAGATTGTTCATTAATTTAATTCTGCATACATATTTTAAATGAAAGATTATAGCGACTCGGAACGGGGAATCGTCGTTCCAAATTAGAATTCTGGTCAAGTTCATCATACACACTTACGTACTAATCCCACTTAGGAAAGGAATATACATGTATAAAATATCCCGGGAAACGCCAGCTTAGCGGAAAAATATTAACGATTTATTGTTTAATAATAAACATTAAACACTGACAAAAACAGATATTTCTTTCTTTCATTTTCAACTGATGAATACTAAAAAGTGTGAAACACGTAATTTGGTGTCAATTAAACGGTTTTCCATTTCTCATATTCTTCAAAAGGAACGGATCTATCTCTTCACCCGACAAGCAATACGCTAAATAGCAGTGCACACTTTATATATATATATATATATATATATATATTTATATATATATATATATATATATATATATATATATATATATATATATATATATATAATGTGTGTGTGTGTTTTATGGTCGCGATGTGTGTGTATCATATTGTTATTTTTAGCATCTGAGTTATAATTATAGTATGTTTCCCTTTTATTTTTTCAGGCACAACATCAGTACCGAATGGGTAATGTCGAAAGGGGTTATGCATTTAACATGGAGGCCAGAAAATTAATCAGAATAAGTTTTGGGGTTGGTGTGGTGCTTATTATATTCTCAATCGTCTTCAGAGTGTTGCTAGATAATTATTTCTTCAATTATGACTAAAAGAAATTTATTCACTGAATATAAAACAACTACTCTTTACATACAAAATGTAAAGCTACTTGATACTAGCTTGATTTTTCTTTAAAATAATATGTAATATAACATTTAATAAATGATGAATTAATTAACATCAAAGGAAACAAACATAACTCGAGTTTTTATAGCAATTTACTAAACATAGTTAAAAAAAGAACACAGAGCCTAAAGTATGGAGTACCCAGTGAGGATCGAACGCATTCGTAATTGATCAATAAAGACAAGTTTACTAGCCATGTCACCAAGTTGAAGTACCTAGGCCATGTTCCAGCATTTGATAACATAAACTTTTAATTTTAAACTGTAACTGAGGTTACTTTAATCTATTCTTGGAATTTGGCTTGTGATTTCTCGAATTTCGTCTCTCTAATAAAAGAAATGATTATATTACTATGCTTGTTTGTTTATTTATTGAAAGAAGAACAAAAACAAAATGCAACCGGTAAGCAATGTATAATAACCTAACGTGCCAAAATAACGCCGTAAGTGTTTAATATTGTGAAGGAGCCTCACTAACCCGGCGAACATATCGGACGTTGCCTCAGTTCCACAATTCTATCTTAATAGCTACCCAAATATCCTAATATCTAGATACTTTCCTCGCCCTTCACACTTGTGAAAATCTCTTCCGGTTTTTGGCTTTTAAATCAACTTTGATTTTCAATAATGTAAATGCAATGTCAACTGCTTTCTTCGTCCTTCATAACCCTGTTCTTTCTCCATTTTCATAATCACTCTACTTTTATTGCTCTCTCTACATATTAATATTTGTTTTTTGTTTTTGTTTTTTTTTGTTCACACTTTTTTGGCTTCCTTAATCGTTTTTGTTAAGGTTGACATGATTAAAAAAAAAATGTTTAAAGAGACCGAGTCGTACAACGGTCGAAAAAAGTGTAAACATATATTATCGTCTTTATCGCCTCGCTTGAAAGTTTTACGGTCTATGCTGGTTTAAAATGATTAAAAAAATGATGTTTAAAGAGACCGAGTTTACAACTGGTCGATCAGAAAAAAAGGGTAAATTAGAATGGAGAAAAACAAATGTTTAAATCTAACAGATATATTCTTCATTTACAAAAAAAAAAAAAAAAGTTACTGATATAAAGAACTGGTTTGTATTTATTCAATCGAAGTTAACTGAAGACATGAAGGGATAAACGCAGCACGAAGACCCACTTCAGGCCACATTTTGGATTTTTTTGAAATTCAATTTTCCATTGTGCTGCCAAGGATGTAAAAGGGGACACGTTTATAAAGCAATTGTTAAGGGTGATGAAAACTGGTTGAAAGATCAACGAAAATTAAGAAAGAAACCAGTAAAAATCGCCATTATTCGCTATTTGCGCGGTTTTCACTATATGGGTGAACTCAGTTATCAAGTTAAATGACTGATACACAATCAACTTATTGTTGGCTACAACTGAGTGAAGTTTGTATATGATTGCTTGAAAATTGATGGAGTTTTTAGTTTAAAATTTGAATTGAAATCGATATTTCGATAAACGCAATGGCGTTGAAATAAAAATGAGGTATCGTTGAGGTCGACATGATGTAAGTAAACTACATACCGAGTTTGAACGAAATCGGTGGGAAGAAGTTGAATTTATCGATTTTGAGCGGTTTTATCGATTATTGATTTTTTTAAATTATCGGTAAGAACCTATCTCTTACATTGTACAATGTATTTGCCAAGATTGGTAAAAATCGGTTGGATGGATCTCGAGTGAAAAGGTATCACACAGACAGAAACACACACACATGCATCCATCCTCTTTTTTATTTATATAGATTATTTTTTTTTTTCAATACCTTAATTTAGACTTTACTGCCTTGCGTGAGATTGAATTGTTAATTGTCGAATAAATGCCGGTGAAAAAGTTAAAGGTAGACTCAACATGTTATTTTTAAAATTACCAGTAAAAATATGCTTAATGTATAAGATTTAAATCCGTCTATATACATTTTAAATAATAGTTATTGTGATCAAATATAGAAAGAAACAACATTCATATATAGATTTCTAGGACAAGCAAATGAAAGGTGATGTCAAAGAAGAAGGCCGGAAATAACGTCACAGGCTGTTCAAGCATGTCATCATTTTTTTAAACCAGAAACTTATAGGAATATGTAAAGTATGAAACAGGATACAGCTGATGGAAACCAGGAAGAGGAATTACTGTAAAAAATGTGATGGAGGCCTAAAGTAAACTATATGACGTACATCGTTGAAAATATTGGTTACACAGAACATTTAGAATCATTTCATATTATTGCAATATTAATACTTAACAAGAGAATGTTTTTTTCACGAAAGAGGAGAGTGAATCATTGCGTATTCTCAGACAAATATTTTCCGATGACATAAAATGGAAATCAGTTGCTAGAACATCTGCTAGGAAACTTGGTTGACTATGTTGCGAAGACAATTTCTTTCACCAGAATCTTTCTTACATATTTATATGTCGTACATGCTTTAAATATTGTTCTCATATGTCATATGTGGACTGGTGCTTCTGCTATATATTTAGAAGCACTTGAAGAAATCCAAAGGAGAATCTGCAATGTTATTGGTGTTGACTTGGCATTGTATATTCTGTCACATTCCCACCGCTATAACGTAGCTTCTCTTTACCTTTTCCATGAATTCTTTCACTGTAATTGTTTTAATGAACTTACCTCTATAGCATATATGAATCTGATTCAAGATATAATAACTCCTCAAAGCATATAAAAGCATGGCTCCGCTTCCCATGCCGTGGGGTCTATTATCATCCCTCAGTCATATCCCTGTCCTCTGTCTCAGCAGTAATTCATGTCATCCTCATTTGCAGATCCAGCTCGCCATCGGCCATCTCGCTAACCAGCAGCAACTATATTGATTAAACTGTCCTTTACTGGACAACACTTTCCCGTCATTCAATATGTTTGTGGGCCAATATATAATATGCAACACAATACGTGGAACTACATCTTAAATGGCCGAATTAAATAACATATAGAGATTGATATGAAGCTAAAAAATCAACGACTAAAACAACCAACATGAAAGAACGCTTGCATGGTGTTAATCCATATAATATCATACAATTTGCCAAAGAAATCAAACTGTATTCTAAAATATAACCTCAACCAAACTACGGCATAAAACACACATATCACCGCCTCTGGCTTCCATTGTGAAAGTTCATAAAAACTCACAAGAAATGTGCTATAATTAGTTGCTATACCATTAAAACAAACCTATCAAATCTTACATAGTCTGAACATTTTATTCTCAAACTTCGTCGGTAGATTCAAATCTCTGTCGCATCAAGTATCTTCTTCATCAAGGAAGAGATTAACCAGCATTCATTGCAATAGCGATTAATTATTATATACAGTTTAGTGAACATTTCTTGATAAAAAATTATATATTAAGTCGTTTTGTGTTTTGTCTGCAGAATCCCGTAATTTTCTATGACATGCATTCAGTTAACTGAGCAACCAACATACAAGAACGCTTTCATGATATTTATAAATATCATATCCTACAATTTCCCACAGAAATTAAACTGTGTTCTAAAATATAACTTCAAACAAACTACAGCATAAAACACACATATCACCGCCTTTAGTAATTATGTCCACACGAACATGTATATGCATGAAAGCTGAGTACTATACACATGTATTCCATTGTGAAAGCAGAATAAGATATATCATAATTTATTAATAAAACACCTACAAGAAATAAACTGTAAGGAGTCGACTTGCCGTTAAGCAAACAAATCAAATCTAACATATTCTGTACATTTCATTCTCAACCTTCGTCGGTAGAGTCACTTCATCTGTGAAGAGGTTAACAATCATTCATTACCATAAAGGAGAATTATTACATGAAGTTCAATGCATTTTCCTTTGTTTTTCATAACCTAATTATTACTGAAGGAAATATAAATACTTTTAAAACAAAGAAAAATTATATAAAAAAAAACTTTTAAAGTTTTGTCGGCGGAATCCTGTAAATTTCTATAAAATATATTCAGTTAAATGAATGGGAGTGAATAACTTCCTTGGTGAATTAGACTCTTGTGCGTCTGTAACTTATGAATAATTTAATAGTATTTAGTGGCAATCTTCAGTATTTGAAAAACAGCATTTGTTTTAATATTGGGTGTGATTTCTAACATTTGTAAAGTCAGTAATTTTATCTTGTTTAACGAAAATCATTATTAAGGAGAAATGATCATAAAAGACCAGTGTTCAAGACGCGACAGAAAAAGTCAGAAAAGATTTTTTCCCAACCGAGAAGGACGAGAAAAGAAACTGTTAGCTTAATACTTATATTTATATCGAGTAATTTCAGCTTCAAACACTCCAGACACCATAAAGAAACTGTGATAGTTTGCTGCTCAAGAGCATCTAGAGCCGCACTTCATGGGAGGCATTTTCCTAAGCAGGATGGATACAGCACATGAGATCATATGAAGCAAAGAACATAAAATAATACATATACACTGAGAAATAAGTTAAGAGAATAGTATTTTAACATATTTTAACACTAAACCAAATATACATAGAATTAAGACTCGTGGAACTATTCCAATATCTGTCTATATATCACGAAGTTTCGACCGTTGTACGCTCCGGCATTCTTCATATGTTCTTTTTTTTTTTTTTTTTTTTTTTAATTCCTTCATTTTGTTTTATTTTTGTTTTTGTTGCTTTTGTCTATCTCTATGTATTACTTGTTCCCATATTGTATTCATTTCTATGCTTGGAACGCCTAGATATGTTTTTGCATCGTCGCATATGCACTGATTTCTTAACCTATCGTATATTTACAATAATATTTTACGTTTGTTATTTTAAATTCATCTCACAAAGGACGGTGATACATCTTTACTCTCCATGTATGGCTAACCATGCCTGATTTTTCTATTTCCACTCGTATTATAGCCTTATGGTGTTACTGTAATCTTATC